ATTTAGCTATAAATTTCCCCTTTAGCACCACTTTTGCTGCATCCCATGAATTTTCCCGTGTTGTGATTTTGTTTCCATTAATCTCTAAGTATTTTCTAATTTCCCTTGTTGATTGTTTAAAAGTATGTGGTTTAATTTTTCACAAATATGTTAATTTTTCAGTTTTATGTTACTGACTTCTAGCTTCATCCTCATGTGGTTAGAAGATACTTTGTATGATAACTATCTTTTAAAATGTATTGTGACTTTATCTGTGACCTAACATATTGGTCTATCCTGTAAAATGTCCTGTGTGCCCTCGAGAATAATGTTTGTATGCTGTTATTGTTAAGTATTCTGTATATGTCTGTTAGATATAGTTAGTTTCTTGTGTTGATTAAGTCATCCATTTCCTTACTTATCTTTGATCTGGTTGTTCTATCCATTGTTAATAGAGTATTGACGTATCAAACTATTACTATACATCTGTCTGTTTCTCCCTTCAATTCCATCAAGTTTTGCTGTACACATTTTCTTGGTCTGTCATTAGGTGCATAAATGTTTATAATTGTTATATTTTCTTGCCATATTGAACCATTTATTAATGTATGTGTCTTTCCTTGCCTCTTGTTACCATTTTTGATATAAGTCTATTTTGTCTGATATCAGTATAGCCACCGCTGCTGATTTGGGTTACTATTTGTACAGAATATCTTTTTTCCATTCTTCATTTGTAATCTGTCTGTCTTTGATTCTGAAATGAGTTTCTTGAAGAGAGCATATAGTTGGGTCATTCTGCCAATGTCTGTTGTAGAGTTTAATCCATTTACATTTTTTTAAGATTTTTATTTATTTATTCATGAGAGACAGAGAGAGAGAGAGAGAGAGAGGCAGAGACACAGGCAGAGGGAGAAGCAGGCTCCACAAAGGGAGCCCGACATCTCTGGTCTCCAGGATTACACCTTGGGCAGAAGGCGGAAGGCGGCGCTAAACTGCCAAGCCCAAATCCATTTACATTTAAAATAACTACTGAGAAGGAGGGACTTAGGTCATTTTGTGACTTGGGTCATTTCTGTAAATATTGATTTTGTTTCTGTCATCTCTTACTGTTATTTCTATAATGCCTTTATAACTTTTTTGTCCCTTATTTCCTGTAGTATTGTTTTATATATACGTGTTTAGTTGATTTTTTTGTAGTGAAATGTTTAAATCCTTTTCTTATTTCTTTTTGGATATATTCCATACCTATTTTCTTTGTGGTTACCATGGAAATTATATTTAACATCCTAGGGGATCCCTTGGTGGCTCAGCGGTTTGGCGCCTGCCTTCGGCCCGGGGCGTGATGCTGGAGTCCTGGGATTGGGGCCCGCATGGAGCCTGCTTCTCCCTCTGCCTGTGTCTCTGCCTCTCTCTCTCTCTCTCTATCATGAATAAATAAATAAAATCTAAAAAAAAAAATCCTAAATCCATAAGATTCTAATATGAATTTATACCAGCTTAATTTTAGTAACATACAAAAACTCTGCTCCTTTACAATTTCTTTCCTACCTCATCTGGTTGTTGATATCAGAAAATTACATCTTTGTATGTGGTGTACTCCAGAACGTAAGCTAGTAATTCTTTTAAACTCATTAGTCTCTTAATTTACATAGGAAACTATGTGTGAAATTATAAACCAAAATTACAGGGATACTGTCTTGCAGACTAATTGTTTTTTCTTTAGATATATTAGTCTTTCAAATTATTCTTACAATAATACTAACTTTTATGGTTGCCCATTTATTTTTATTGAGATCTTTCTCCATACAGCTGTGAATTACTCTCTAGTACTCAATCCTTTCACCTTGCAGGACTCCTTTGAGCTTCTCTTAAAGGGCAGGTTTAGTGGCCATGAACTCCCTCAGTTTATCTGGGAATGCCTTAATTTTCCCCCTCACTTTTCAAGGACAGCTTTTTGGTTTGTTTGTTTGCGATAGTAGTCTTGGTTTTTTTTTTTTTTTTTTTTTTTGTGTGTGTGTGTGTGTGTGTGTGTTTTAAAGATTTATTTATTTATTTATTTATGATAGAGAGAGAGAGGCAGAGACACAGAAGGAGGGAGAAGCAGGCTCCATGCCAGGAGCCTGACGTGGGACTCGATCCCGAGACTCCAGGATCACGCCCTGGGCCAAAGGCAGGCACCAAACCGCTGAGCCACCCAGGGATCCCCAGTAGTCTTGGTTTATATATTTTATTTCTCTTAACGTTTGGAATATGTGGTACCATTGCTTCCTGGCCTCTAAAGTTTCTGATGTGAAATCTGGGGATAACTTCATTGAGGGTTCCTTGGATCTGACAGGTTGCTTTTGTTTTAGTGCTTTCAGGATTCTTTCTTTGTCTTTGCCTTTTGAAAATTTGATTATAGTGTATCTCACTGTGTGTCTCTTTGAGTTCATCATACTTGTAGTTCTTTGAATGTTATAAATACTAGTCCCTTGTTGGAACTGTGTTTTGCAAATATATTGTCCTAGTCTATGGCTAGTCTGTAGTATCCTCTTAAGGGGGTCTTCCACAGAGCAAAAGTTTTTTAATTTTTTTTTTAATTCTTCCCAAGGCTCAAGCCTTTTTTTTTTTTTTAAGATTTTTATTTATTTATTTGAGGGGTGGGGTAGAGCACAGAGGGAGAGTGAGAAGAAGAAGCAGCCTCTCCACCAAGCAGGGAGCCCAATGTGAGGGCTCAATTCCAGGACCCCAGGATCATGACCTGAGCCAAAAGCAAATGCTTAACCAACCGAGTCATCCAGGCACCCCCCAAAAGGTTTTCAATTTTGATGAAGCCTAGCATATCAGTTTTCCCTTTTATGAGTCATATTTTTAGCTCAAGTCTAAGAGCTCTTTGTCTAACCCTTAGATCTCAAAAATTTTCTTTCATAGTATTTCCCTGAAAGTGAGTTTTACATATCTTATATATTTTTAAGTCTGTTTGGTATATCTCAAGGTCCTTGTTTTTTGTTTTTTGTTTTTGTTTTTGTTTTTGTTTTTTGGTCTCTGCCTGTCCAATTGTTCTGCCACCATTTGTTGGAAAAACTGTCCTTATTCCATTGAATTGCTTCTGCACCTTTGTAAAAAAAAAAAAAAAATCATTTGGGCGTATTTGTGTGGATTTGTTTCTGGGTTTTAAACTATGTTCCATTAAAAATAAATAAATAAATAAATTATATTCCATTGAACTGTGTGCTTCCCTCTTCTCTAATATTACATGTTCTTGATTACTGTAGCTTGATTACTAATAAACCTTAATATTAGGTAGACTGACCCCCTTTCACTTTATTCTCCTTTTTCAGGATTGATTTATTTTGGGGCTGTGTCTTTCCATATAATTTTGTTTTATTTTTAAATATTTATTTAAAATAAATAAATAAATATTTATTTATTTAGAGAGCATGATGGGGGCGGGGGGAGGAGTGCAGGGGAGGGTCAGAGGGAGAGGGAACAGCAGACTCCTTGCTGAGCAGGGAGCCTGACTTGGGGCTCAAACCCAGGACCCTGGAATCATGACCTGAGCCGGAGGCAAAAACTTAACCAGCTGAGCCACCCAGGTGCCTCTCCATATAATTTTAGAATCAATTGACCTGGTTGTACAAAACACTTTGGGATTTTGATAGAAGTTGCATTAAGGCTATGGATCAGTTTCAGAATTAACATCTTTATAGCATTGAGTCTTCCAGTCTATGAACACATTGTCTATTTTTAAAAAAAATATTCTTTGATTACTTTCATCAGTATTTTGTAGTTTTCAGCTTATAGATTTTGCACTTGTTTTGTTGAGTTTATACCACAGTATTTTATTTTCTTTGTTAATTGTTAACGATATTGTGTTTTTGATAGTTTCTATGTATTCATTAGTAATATATGTAAATGTGATTGATTTTTGTGTATTGGTTTCAAAAGTATAAGTAGCTTTTACTGCTATTTCCTTATTGCTATTTTTTTATTTATCTGTGGGTAATTTGTAGAATTGTCTTAGAGATAATTCTAACATACTGGATAATTGCAAACACTCATGCAAAGGCAGTGCTATATAGTTTATAGTTATACATTGAGCCTAACAATTTGCCAGGTTAGAGTATGATAGAGCTGGAATTCAAACCCAAGCTTGTACAGAGCTGTTTAAAAAAATTTTTTTTGAAGGCATTTACATGATGTATTTTGTAAGAAATTTATTTTTTTTATTTTTTGTAAGAAATTTAATTCCTGAAAATGACAACTTGACTAGACTTGCTAAGTATTTCAATACTTATTTTCTTCTTTTCTCTATAGAGAATGTACAAGTGTCTGCTGATATTTTGTGCATTGGGAAACGTTTGGTTTCATTGTCCCTACTCAGTGCTTGTAAATAAATTTTATATTTGAAATTTAAGTATTTACCAGATTGGTATTCATTTATTCATTCCTTCATTTATCATTTATGAGGGCAGGTATTATGCTAGGTACTAGATATGCAGAGATGAATAATACACAGTCTCTACTTTTAATTTGATTATAGTCAAATAAAGAAGACTAATAAGAAAGCAGATAAATTTAGTAGAGGGTGTTAAGTGCTCTGATGAAAGTATGTGTAGTTGCTACACAATAGTGTGCTGGAGCTGGTTCATGCCAGCACATGGGAGTCATTTATTAAATATTCAGAAGCTTTGCAGATCTGTTTCACCAGTGGTAGCTTAAAATTGGCCAAGGTAGAAGTATTTACACCATGGAAATTGGCAAATGCTACAAATAGTGCTTTGTCTTTTTTTCCTACTTTCTTTTTTTTTTCCTCCTCAGGACATCTACTTTACTAACATATCATGTTGGTTAGGTATTAAATCCAGTCCTTTACCTCATTGCAACATAAACCCGTTCTGCATTATCATAAGTTGTCACAGGACCAGCTGCTTCTAGTGATTTAAGCAGCGGCCTCTTCCAAACATGGTGGTTTGTTACCCTTTTAGATGAGGAAAGTGAGATTAAGTCTAAATTCCCTGTGGGTTCTGTTTTTATTCCAGAGATTATAAAGCAGCTAACATCACAATCAATTTATACATCGTCAATGAACCTTGGCTCTACTCACTGGCCTGGTGCTCCAGGATTCATTCAGTGACCACAGACAACATTCAGATCCTGAGGCAGATAAATCACCCTTACTTCTTCATGGTGAGCTGGTTGTCCAGATTGTTCTTTCAAGTCTGGTATAGTAGGAATCAAAGTCCTTTATCCCACCCCTACATTGTCCACTGTGCAGACCCCTGGGGAGCTACTTAATAGCAGAGACCTCTGTGATATTGGAAATAAGGCATTCTTCTCCCTTCTCTCACCCACACCCTTCTGTGATTTGCAGAGAGAAATTAATATTGTTATAATAACTGCCGTTTATTGAGTCTTCACAATATGTTTTTCATGCATTATGTAATTTGACCCTCTCAGTTACACATTCTTATTATCCCCATGAAGAAGGTGAAGTTTGAAGATATTAAGATTCTTGGACATAGTCATATGATGCCACATTCAGAATGAGGTTTGATTCCAGAGTTTTGTTACGGTACCCCCACCTTCCTAGACGCATGGCAGTGATGACAATGACCTGGGTTTTGTGGAGAAAACCAAGTATATTTGACTCCAAAGTGAAAACTGTGTGTCCTGAACAAAATGCTTTTGAAAAGAAGAGTCAGTCTCAGGGCCTGAGCTCAGTGTGAAGTGTGATTGAGATTCTCCCTCTCCTTCTGCTCCTCCCCCAACTTGCATCCTCTCTCTCCAAATAGGTAAATAAAATTTTTAAAAAGGAAAAGAGAGAGCTAGTGTCCAGCCACCTAACTTGATTGCCCTCCTATCCCTGATACTGCTTATTGTCAAAGGTTTAGGGACCTGAACACTTGGGTTATAATCACAGCTAAAATCCTATAATTTGTTATCTGTGGAAGCAGCCCTAGATAACCAGTTAACTGCTACCAAGCTCTTATCTGTTAAAGTAGCTTGACCGAGCTGGACACAATAGTGTACAACAGAAATGAGCTTAATTTCTCTTCATTGTTTAAACTGCTCTGTGGTTAGCCTTTCCCTGCTCCTGAATGAAATCCTACTCAGGTCCCATAACTTTTCTAGTCACTTTTAGGTAATTTTCAAATTTCACTTCCTAGTCACCAAAGAGCCTCAATTCAGAGAAGTGTCTAGTTGAGAGTAAAAACCCAAACTCCAAGCTGTCTTAAAAAGGTACACGGTTAAGCAGAGAAGCCCAAATGAGAAGCATAAATTTCAGTTGCCTTCGCTATCCCTCTGGGCATCACTAGCCCTTGTTTAGAGTCAGGACCAGGGCGTCACTAGCCCTTGCTTAGGGTCAGGACCAGGAGAAAAAGAATCAGGGTCAGGACACGGTCTCATAGAGCCAGTACTGCATTGAGGTCTGGTGGCAGTGTAAAATTACTGATACCTTTGTTCTCAGTGGCTTGGGTAACTTTCTGGGGATTACCTTGAAGAAAACCTTGAATGGCAGGTCCCTTGGCTAGGTTGAAGCCTTTCTATTTGTCTGTCCTCATATAATTTTCCTTTCCTTCCTAATTTTTCTAACATTTTGTTTTTAAAAATTGATTACAAAGTAAGTCTGTTCATTATATGAAATTCAGTCATTATAAAAATACATAAAACTGAAAGCAACACACCACTCCATAATCCTGTACCCTAAATCAGTAATGTATCAGAGTTGTCCCTTTGTATATATTAAATGAAGCTTTATTAAATCTTTTTATTTTAATACTTGGATTGATACTATTTGAATTGACAATAAATTCATGTGATTCAAAATTCAAAGAGTACAAAAGGATATAAAGTTTAAAAAGAAATTTTTTTCTATATGTGGCTTTGGCTTTTTTAAAGACTCCAATGTCACTTTGTTCAGGAAAGTGGGACCAGTATCACCTGAGTTTTCTCAAACAGCTCACACTCTGGAGTTAGAATATGCAGTTTTAAGTCTTGGCACTACCACACTTGGAAACATTAGTTAGCTTGTCTGTGCCTCTTTTTATTAGGAAATTGAGGATAATGATAGTACAACAGAATTACTTTTATCCATCACGATCTACTCTGATCATTGGTCTGTTAACTGAAGAGGTTAAAGTGGGGAATTATAAATGTATGTGTGTGTGTGCATGTGTGTATTTACAGTCTGTCAGCTTTTACTACTAAAAAAAAAAAAGACACCTCAAGTGTAGTGCCTTAAGACAAATATTTATTTGTCACATTTTTTGTGATGGCTAAGTGGTCCTCTGGTCTGAGCCAGCTTGGTGTAGGAGTAGGATGAGTGCATTCATATGTCTCAGGTCTTACCTGGAATGCCTGGGATCTTTCTTCATGTGATCACTCATCCTCAAGGAGGCCAGCTTGAGCATGTTCAACTGGTGGCTGTGGGTTCCCAGCAATAAGAAAGGTCAAGCCTTTGCACATACAGTTTTTAAGGCTTTCCTGGTGTGTAGTCTGTGGGCCAAAGACAGTTACATGGCCAAGTCCAGAATCAAGGTAGGGTAGGGGAGAAATAGACTTCATTTATTGATGGAGAGGAACAGCAAAGTCACACTATATACATTCCTACATTTTGGGTGAAATATTGTCATTTTTGTAAATGATCTGTCACATACATACCTCATACATTTTAATTTAGAATATTCATTTACTTTGTAACACAGAGTCAAAGTTTTTGAGGTTACTTCAGTGGGTGGAATTCTATATTACATTTGCTTATTTAAACACCCAAATGAACCAGCTATGATTTCTAAGTTTTGTTTCCTTAAAGCAGAACAAGAACATAAAATCACTGAAAGAAGCTGTCTGAATGAGGGATTCACCCAGATTTTCATAATGCTCTTATCCCAATCTCTTAACAGTGTTTCACTCATACTTCATTCCGTTGTAGTTTAATAACCTGTTCTGTCTTCACTGAGATTTTCAAAGTATTGGCTTAGTTTTCTTGAAAATGGCATATCAAAAAAAAAAAGAAAATGGCATATCACTTAGATTTATAGATTTGAGTAACATTTAATTATGACACTGCACAGTTATAATAAGTACACTGTTCTAAGCCATTTAGGGAGGAAGAATGACTGATTCTTAGTAAATGGACAGCTCACCTGATGGGAAACCGGGAGTAGACCAAGCTATTAGTCACTCTTTCCCAGAGGGGATTAAGAGCCTGGGTTTAGGGGTACATGGGTGGCTCAGTCAGTTAAGCATCTGCCTTTGGCTCAGGTCATGATCCCTGCCAGGGTCCTGGGATTGAGTGAGCCCTGCCCAATGGGTTCCCTGCCCAAGGGAGTCTGTTTCTCTCTGCCCTTCTGCCCCTCTCCCTGCTCATTCTCTCTCTCTCTCTCTCTCTCTCTCTCTCTCTAAAGTAAATAAATAAATGTCTTTTTTTAAGGGTTTTAGTGGAAGTTATTTAAGGACTTCTACTATACATGCTTAGTGGGCTGTTGTGAGGATGATATGTGAAAACATCCTTAAAGTGCTTCGAATGCTTCCTTAGCTCTTGTGGCTGCTCATTAATTATTAATTGTTGTCATCATGACTGTTATTGTTGTTATTATTATTGTTATTATTCAGTTCACAGAACGACCTTAGGATAGGGTGAGGAAAGGTTCAAGAAAAAGTAAAAAGTGTCACCCTCAGGGGCATCATCAAGTAAAATTGGTCTGGGAGCAATGAGATGAAAAGGGAGGATCAAATCAGGTAATTATAAAACTCACATTAAGAGGACCCAGGAGATGGAGCTCTGGGAAATGGGTGATTCAGGCAAAGAGCATGGAGAAGGCAATCTGTTAAGGAGGAGTTATAATTTCAACATGCTTATTTGAAGCATGATGATTTTTTAAAAGATTTTATTTATTTATTCATGAGAGACAGAGAGAGAAGCAGGCTCTCTGCAAGGTGTCCGATGCAGGACTTGACCCTGGATCCCGGGATCGTGCCCTGAGCCGAAGGCAGATGCTCAACCACTGAGCCACCCAGGTGTCTGTGAAGCATGATGATTTAGAAGAAAAATTCCTGGATGCTGGTTCACAGACTAGTTGCTTCAGCATTACCAGGGAAGCTTATTCAAAATGCAGAAATTCTAATTCCTGAGGGATTTAGTGAGACCTGTGACCTTGTATTACTAAAAGCTGCCCAGGTAGATTTGGATGTCCAGCCAGGTTTGGGAAGCCATACTATGGAAACATGGAGCAGTGGAACTCAAGAAACTTGGGCTATAGTCTAGGGCCCAGATTAGCCTTGCTATGTGACTTCTCTGGGACTCGTCTGTCTTTGAGGGTTAAGGGGAATGAAGGTTATGAAGTGTTCTGTCCCTTGTAGAGTCCCCTGCACATATAAGGGGTGATTGTTAGGTTATGAGCAGGTACACACTGTTTGAGACCACATCAGAGTTCTTCCATCTGCTTTGCCTGCCCTGTCTCCCCCTGCTCTTCCCTCAGCCCTGGCAGGAGAGCAAAGGACTTGGCTTTTGTGAGCTAAAAATCCCTTCCAACTGTAGTCTTTTAAAATTGTTTTGTTTTCTGTTTTGCAGACACCAGGTTACTATATGTTCATGTGGCTTTTCATGGATAGTGTTTCTGCGGTTCTCATCGTTACCATATTTTATTTTCATTGGTAAGCCTATATTTGTAATTTTAAATGAATATTTCCCAAGATTAAAGTGTAAGTGGTTCTTATGGAAAGTTCAGAAAAAATGCTTAGACTCTTCCTGTAATCCCACATGGCAAACTCTCAGGAAGACAGGGTTTAAAATCTCATTACTTCTCATGCTGCTTGTACCTCCTCACATCCTTTCTATTCAACACAGAACAATATTCTAAGAATAAGGACTCTCACTTAAGCCTAGTCAAATCCTATTACTACAGATTCATTGTGGACCAGTTGTAAAAGGACAAAGGTTGAAGGTTGTACAGAACAAGTGCCTCATCTTCCTGCTTCCATGAAACAAAGCAAGTTCACAAACTGGGAAGCCTGGGCTTTAGTCCTGGCTTTGTCTTTTAGTAGCTGGAGGACCCTGGAAAATCACCGCCTCTTTCTAGGCTATAGGCTTATTATCTGTCCAAAAAGATGACATTTAGTATCCTGCAAGGCAGATGTTATGGATTGCAGGATTCAAGGTGGGAAAGGGAACACCCAGGTAGAAGAATTTTAGGTAGAGGAGACCATAGTTGTTTAGGCCTCATCACACCCATCATTTCATCATTTGTGAGTTATTGTTTAAAGAGGAAAGTATAAACCCTGTACTTAAGTGAGAATTTGACTGGATGATGTTTCTTTTCTGACCATTGCCTTGGATTATTGTCTTTTTTGGAAGAGATCTATGAGGCTCATGGATAGTCTCTTTCCTTCCAGGTGGAGAGAGCGGAAAAAAGAAATGTTCGATAATGCCAGCATTTACATAGGTAAAGTCAGAGGTCTACCCTGATCCTATCTCTTCATCCCTACCCACTGCCTCCAGGACATGGAGCCTGCTTTTCATGCTTCTGAGAAGAGCTGAGGGAGTCTGGGGAAAATGGGATTGGGGATCAGGGAGAAGTTGAGAATTGTCAGCTGGAGAGTCCTTGACATAGGCTTCATTTTGGACTTTCTCAAATGCTGGCAGTGAGACCTCTTGAAGATTTTGAGCATGGGTGTTTATTTGTTCACTTGTTCATATCTTAATTCATCACATATTTAGTTATTGAGTACCCTCTTTGTGCCAGGCACTCTAAGAAAGACTGAAAATAATTGAAAGCTATCATGCAGGGTGGCCCAAAAGAGAGGGGGCCTGGCCCCCAAAGAGCAGCAAGGGAGGCAAAAGTAGACAGTTGATGCCATTGAGCTAGGCACCAAGGTCCAGCTACCAAAGTAGCTGTCATGCCCAGTAGAGCTTTATGGGGTGATGTATGTTGGAGGGTGGAGGGAGAAAACTGCAGAGATCCTGAAAGACTTTACTAGAGTCTAGGCTCTGCACATAAGCAATGAAGAGATGGCAAATGAGCTTCTTCAAGGGAGCAATATGTTTAGAATTCTGTGTATAACAGAGTAGCATTATTTAGCAGAGTAACTCAGGGGCTGAGGAAGTGAGATAGGCCCAGTAAAGGGAAGGAGAGCTGGATTTTATTTTTCAGGAGGCTGTGGGGATAATCACACGGTGAGTGACTAGTTGGGAAGCCAGTGCAATGTCAAAGGAAAACCAATTATGAGGCAAAGGACTGGGCAATACTTGATAGATTTCTTCCACAGCTCCTGGAGCCTTAGGTAAAGTTGGTACCATCATAGAATCATGAATTAATGTAACTTCTTGTGGATAGTGGTGAAGATCCTGAAATGCCATGCACCAACTGGCAGAGGGTTGAACTGATAAAATACTTAAGTGTTGCAGGAATGGATCCATAGGGACCATGAAAAAAATAAGTACAGAAATATGAATAAATTAAATGGAGAGCAATAGTCTTGCATACTATGAAACTGAAGGTTCAGACTAAGCTCACTCAAATCTCACAGAGCAGAAAGATCTCAAGTAACTCTGTGTTATATGGATTTTAAAGATTGCTTTACTGGCTGTTAAGAAGTCTGAAGGCTTTAGCCTTATGATTTTCAGTAGTTGTATTAGTAAACCAAAGCTGCTATAACTGAATACCACAGTTTAGATAGCTTAGACAACAGAAATTTATATTCTCTGTTCTAGATGCAGAAAGTCCAAGACCAATCAATGTGTCAGCAGGTTTGGTTTCTTCTAAGGCCTCTCTCATTGGCTTCCAGATGGCCACTTTCTTGCTGTTTCCTCATATAGCCTTTCCTCTGTGCATACACACATACCAGCGCCTCTCAGTGTGTTTAGATTTTCTTTTCTCCAATTAGATTGTATTAGGTCTCATTTTAAGCACTTTTTTAAAGGCCTTATTTCCATGTCTAGTCAGATGTGAAGTACTGGGGGTTGGCACTTCAGCATGTGAACTTGTGGGGCCCAAAATTCAGCCCATAATAGTAATAGAGCCAGGAAATGAGAAAACAAACAAACAAACAAACAAACATGGAAATGGTGATGAAAGTATGTATAGGAGAAGTTTTGAAGGAAAATTCAAAGAAGTGTATAAATAATGGATGAAGGAAAAAGTACTTGGTTAACTTGACCACACCTATCCACTATGTTGAAATGATGAGAAAATAAGATGAATAGAAAATGAATTAAGAATTTTTCCTGTTTTTTTTTTAAAAGATTTTTTAGTTGCCTGTTACAGAAACCAGTTTTGCCTGATCTAAGCAGAAAGAAAATGTATTAAAAGGCTGTTTGAGTGCCCCTAAGAGATATCTAGAAGGTACAGGACCAAGTTTAGAATCAGGGAAGGAACAAGGAAGACTGAAGCTAAAACCACAGCCCAGATCCATTGAGACTCAAGAGAATAGAGCCTCAGACACTAAGCACAGTGTCACTCACATCTTGCACCACAACAGCCTCCAGGATGGGCAAGTACTGCTGCAGCTGCTGCTGCCACCATAAGGCATTCATCAACTCTCTAGCTTTAGGATGTATTTTTCAGCACTGTAAAGTAGTCAGTCCTTTGTCTTCTGCCTTGTTTAGTTTCTTATGGAAAGTCTTGCAAAAAAAAAAATGCCCATTTTATCTGTTGTTCTACTTGTAACATGTCCTTTTTTTCTCTAGCTGCTTTTTAAGATTGTTCCTTTTGTTACTAGTCTTCAGTAATTTGATTATGGTTTACCTTGGATATGTGTGTGTGTGCATGTGTGTATCCTGCTTAGGGTTTGCTGAACTCTTAGTCAGTATAATTTTCATCAAATTGGGTAAATTTTTAGTCTTCATTTTTTCAAATATTTCCTGTTCCTACCCTCTTCTGAGATTCCAGTTACATGGATATTAGAAAGTTCAATACTATCCCATAGGTTGCTGAGACTCTGTTCACTGTTATTTTTGGACTATTTAATTTCTGTGCTTCATCTTGAGTAGACTCTATTTCTGTATTAGTTTTTTATTGCTGTGTAACAAATTATTATAAACTTAGCAGCTTAAAATAATACAGATTTATCATCTCACAATTTCTATGGGCCATAGGTTCAGGCATGGGTTAACCAGGTCTTCTACTTAAGAGTCTCACCAGGCTGGGTCACCTGGGTAGCTCAGTTGGTTGAGTATCCAACTCTTGGTTTCAGCTTGGGTCGTGATCTTGGGATTATAGGTTCAAGCCCCATGTTGGGCTCCATGTTCAGCATGGAGTCTGCTTGGGATTTCTCCCTCTCCCTCCCTTGCTCTCTCTTGCATCTGTTCTCTCTCTCTCTCTCTCTCTCTCTCTCTCATACATAAAATCTAAAATAAATAAAGTCTCACCAAGCTAAAATCAAGGTGTATGCCTAGACTGCAATCCCATCTGAGACTTTTAAATCCTCCTCCAAGATCACTCATTGTTAGAAGAATTTAGTTCCTTAAAATTCTAGGACTGAAATTTTTATCTGTTTTCTTGATCACTGTTGCCAGGGTTTTCTCTGAGTTCCTAGAGCCTAACTTTAGGTCCCAGTCATATGGCTCTCTCACAAGGCAGTTTACTTCTTCAAAGCAGGAGAATGTCTTATAGCAGTTAGGTTCAGGAACAAGACACCAAAGGAAGAAAATAACAGATAAAACAGAAACCAAGTTGAAGCATGATTGTCATAAATCTAGCCATTTTATTAATCACATCAAATATAAATGGACCAAATATTCAAAAGTAGAGATTGTCAGACTAGATAGAAAATAGAAAAAAGCTGGACCCAATCATATGTTGTCTACAGAATAGTTAAATACAAAGTCAACAGAAGATCAAAAGTAAAAGATTGGGAAAATGATATGCCATGCAAACAGTAAGCATAATAAATAATACCTGAAAAAAATGACTTCAAAACTTGGAGCATTACTGGAAACAAGGATTTGATAATGATGAAAAGGTCAGTATATCAAGAAGGCATTATAATTAGAACTCTATAAACACATGAAACAAAACTGAGAGAAGTCATACTTAGGCATGTTAACTTCCTCTCTCAGTACCTACAAGAACAACAAAACACACAAAAAAATCAAATCAGGAATATAGAAGTCTGAACAACACCTTGATCTAAGTGAGATAAAATATACAGAACTAAAGAATATATAATATTTTCAAATGCATGTGGCATATTTGCCAAAATAGACTGACAAGCTAAAAAACAAGTCTCAATAAATTTCAAAAGACTAAAATCTTAAAGTATGTTCTGTGACCACAACAAAATTAAACTGGGAATTAACATTCATGAAGTATCTAGATAAGTCTCTAATTGCTGGAAATTAATATATTTCTAAACATCTCATTGATCAAGGGATAAATCACAAGAGAAATTCGAAAATATTTGAAATTAAATGATGATGCATCTACAACAATGAAATTTGTGGGATAAAGCTAAAGCAGGACTTGGAAATTTGTAACTTTAAATTTTAGAAGGAAGAAAGTTTAATATTGATGAAGTTTCTACCTCAAGAATCTAGGGAAAAAAAGACTACATTTTCCCCCAAGTGAAAGAAGGAAATAATAACAATAGCAGGAATCAATAAAATAGAAGACAAAAAAAAAATAGAGAAAATGAAAAAAGTGAAAAGTTGATTTTTGGAGAAGATTAATAAAATTGATAAACCCTTAGCAAGATGAGAGAGGGAGGGAGGAGGAAGAGAGAGAGAGACTGACTCCAGATATGAATGGAAAACAGATTATCCAGATCCTAAACATAAAAAGGAAAATTAGGAATATTTTTGTGCCATTAAAGTTTAAACTTAAGTGAAATAGATAAATTCCTTGAAGTACGTGGCTTACCAGAACTGAGAGAAGAAGAAATAGAAAATTCTAATAATTCACTATTAGAATCAAATGTGGTTTTTGGGATCAAAACCTCACCAAAAGTCCAGGCCCAAGGAGTTTCACTGGTTAATCAAATATTTAAGAAATAATGCGGATTTTATACCAACTCAGAAAAAAAGAAGCAGCATTTTCCAGCAGTTTTTGAGGCCTCCATTACCCTCATATAAAACCTTGTGACAGAGATATTACGATAACTAAATTTATAGATCAATATTATTATGAACTTAGAACTAAAAATCTCTAACAAAATATTAGCAAATTGAATTCATCAGTATATAAAAAAGATAAGTCATGAGCAAGTGGGGTTTATCCCAGTAGTGTAAGATGCACATATAAAAAAAAAACGATGCACATATCATTTGAAAATTAATAAAATTCAGTGAATTAATAAAGAAAAAGTATATTTGACAAAAGTCAATACCCATATATGATAAAAATCTCTGGGAAAACTAGTAGAATGAAACTTCCTCAATCTGATGAAAAATATCTACAAAAACCGACAGCCAATATCATTTTTAATGGTGAAACAATGAATGTTTTCC